GTATGTTGGAATTTTGTTGAGAATAGATTAGATTGTTGTCTTGATATATGTGAATTGCAGACGAGCATATGTTTGGATACAATTGCACATGTTATTAGGATGTTATAATGGATATATGAATTGTTCATAAACATATGTTAATAAAGAGAACAGAATTCTAAACCAAAACAATGGGATAGCTGAACGTTAGAGTGTGAGGAGTGGTTTTTGTGAAACCTCCATTGGGGTTCACGAGGATCTCCATGCAAAGCGTGTGATTCATAGAGAAACAAAGTTGAGCTTTGTTACCTCTGGCGCTAAGTGTGGCAATAGCCTTTCTACGCGGCATAAGGCCTCTAGGTGCTAAGTGTGGAAAGATCCATATTGGGTGCTGCGGTCATAAAAGAGTGTCCCTTGTTTGGGTGCAAAATACGTTATCACGCACTGAGTGCCATTTGGCAGATAATTTTTATGTATCTTAAGGACGAGGACCACTATGAGATGTAGTGTGTAACATCTCTTAGATTTTATCTCTTAATGACTCTATTTTACTTTACTTCATATTATAACACTTCACACAATTTTTCGTTAGTTAGAATTATTCATTGGTTAAAACCCTCCGTGGATAACCTTTTTGATGTGTTCGACCTTTTTTAGGATCAACAATTATCTTTGTAAGCCAACATAAGAGTTTCAGAATATTACTCATCCCTAAATCTTTCTAAGTCAAACACGATTAATTGTAAAGTTTTTAAGTGATGAACTATCGAAAGTATAAAAAAAAAGCTTCTTAGGTATTTTCAACAACTATAAAAGGATGAGATTTGTTTTTTGGTCAGAAAAAGGATACGAAGATCCCTCAAAATAAGAGAAGTCAATTGAAAGTTGTTTTGGACTAACACATTATAATTCCTTACCTTTTGCATCCAAAAGTTGATAATCAATAACCTTGATTAGATAAGAAGTGACATTTGATGAAACATATTAATTGTTCACATTAAATGCACCAATAAACACATCCTCATATAAATAAGCAAGACAAAACAAGTCTACAAGAAAGACTCATGGGTTTTACAATGTTCACCTTCTACTACTGCATTATATAAGAAGCATGGATAAATTTAGAGAAGAACAAGAACACACACTTTCATTCTTTATTCTTTTCTCTCATTAAAAACATACTTTGTACTTAATTGTTATCATGTCTTGCGTGTGATATGATTTGTTAGCTTAACTAACTTAAACCTTATGTTTTACCTTGAAGCCTAAAGAGACTTTATGTTTAAAGAATACTTGGTGTAAAAAGCCTAGAGGGGCTTTCTTATTTAAAGAATACTTAAGTAGTTTGCTTGACGAGACAAATCGAAAAATATTTAGGTTGAGTCACTAGTGACATATGAAAGAATACTTTGTATCTTTGTAAAAAATAATAGAATTTGATCAGTTGATCAAGAACTTGTTGTAGTCTTAGTGGATGAGATCATTCAATATAAATCTCTTGTGTTCTTTGATTTGTTTACACCCTTCAGCCTTTGTATTCAATTTGCTACTTTCAAAAGTATTTTTTTGATAAACATAATTTAACCCCCTTCTTGTGTGTGTCTTTACTTCACAATTTGGTATTAGAACTTAATCTTTAACATGTTGAACATAGGGGGAAAATCGTATCTATGTGGATATCCGCACATAAAATTCTAGAATGGATAATTAATGGATACTTAAATGAGTAACCATGGATAATTTAGATGGATGTATTCATACCCGTTAATAAATGGGAACAAGGATGAATAACAAGGTATCCGCCCTACGGATACAAGTTAAATACACATTATAATAAAATTGCTCAAATTTCCTAAATATATAACATGTGTTAAGTGAAAATATGATATTACCTAAATATGATATATCCATATTTGTTAATAAATGGGAATGGGGATGAATATCAAGGTATTCGCCCATGGATATTCGTTAAATACATGTTATAATAAAATTGCTTAAATTTATTAAATGTATAGCATGTGTGAAGTGAAAATGTGATATTAAATAAATTTCTTTTAATTAGACTTGTGAGATTGAAATATTATAATTTTTTAACTTTTATTTTGAACTCGTGGAATTGAATTATTTTAATTTGTTGATTTTTTTTAACTTATAGGATTGAAATACTTAAATTTAGTTTTTAAATTGAAAAAATCTTGACTAATAAATTTAATTTTTATGTTTAGTTTCCATATTATTGTGTATAATATTTGAATAATTTAAGTTTTAGCTTTTAAATTATTATTTTTAAAGAAATTATTAAAAAAAATTATTACTAAAATGTTTTTCTAATCATTTCTAAGCTTTTTTTTTTATTTTTTTATTTTTTTATTTTTTTATTTTTAATAAATATCCATGGATACCTATCCACAAATATTGGAAAAAAATTGTAGGTACCCACATAGATACGGGGACATGTACAAAATGAATATTTATCCGATAGGGCAAGTAGCAAAGGACTATTACTTGTACTCGTTCTACCTCATTGATATCTCTAGTTAAGCATTTAACAATACTAAAGGAAAAAAAATTCAAATATGGGAAATAGTGAAGGACAATACCTACTTAAAGGAGCTTCTCCTACAAGGATTCTTGCCTTTGATGGAGAAGATTACCTATATTAGAAGGGCATAATAGAGATGTTCATTAAATTTACCTAATATCATCTATGAAAGATTTCACAAACAATGATATTCTTATCATGAAAGTTGAGAGTGAATACACTCATGAGGACTACAACACTCTCCAACTCAACACCAAGGCCATATACATTTTGGTGTGCTCTTTGTCAAGGACAAAATACAACAAGTTATGTAGTTGCAAGATTATTAAAGAGATATGGGATGCGATTAGGAGCAACACATGAGGACATTGAAGATTTGAGGCTCAAAAGAGATGCTACTCTTTGAAGGCACTATGAATTGTACTCTATGAATAAGAACAAATTCATTGATGAGATGTTTGGGAAATTCCACAATGCTCTCAATGGATTAAAATCCCTGGAATCTAAGTTTCCCAAGGCTCAAAGAAACCTAAAGATCCTAGACAACCTTTCAAGGATTTAGGAGCCCAAAGCTATCGGTTTATTTGAGGCACATGAACTCAAGGTTCTCATGCTTGATGAAATTTTGAGAGCATTTAGGGTTCACAAAGTTCACCTAAACAACATGGATCATATAAAGCCAAATGATTTTGTTGCTCTCATAATAGGTTAAACTAACCAAATAAAGGAGAAGACAAGGCTTTAAAGGTTCAATTTGACTACAACAACTCAGAAAAAGAATCAAAAGATTCAAATGATGATAAAATTTCTCTTATGTCAAAGAAGTTCAAGAGCATGTTAAAGAAAAAAGGAAAACTCAAGAGCTTTCACAAAAAGAAGGGTGGGTTCAAGAAAACCTACCAAGAGGAGAATAAGGAATTCATATACTTTTAGTGCATGAAACACATGCACATGAAAGCAAAATGTCCTAAGCTAAAAACGAAGTGGTCAAGTAAAAAGAATGCCAAGAAAATTTTGATGACCACTTGGGAAAATCTGAACAAAAATAATAACAATAGTTCAAATGATGAGAAAATCTTTATCAATATTTTTTAAATTTTAAATTAGTGGGGGATTTGTTGAGAAATTATCTTATAATTTAAATTTTAAATTTCATCTAATCAATTTTTGTTTTTAATATTTTAACATTTCAAAGAGTAAAGCTGTTATGGATTTAATGTGAACAAGTCTCTATCTTTTCAATAGATTAATATTGACCAAGTCCACATTATACTATCATCTATCCTTTAACTTTTGGTTGTTACCAAAAAAAAATGAGTAAAACTTGGTGCATGTATATTTTATCTCACGTAAAAGTTTCAAATATTGTGCATATATATATATATTGGCATATGAGGGGAAAAAATACAGATATACAATAATTCTCTTATATATCTCTCCCAAAAATTATTTTTGCTACTAAAATATGTTTTAGAACAACATTCTTTATTTCAGGGATCATTGCACTCGAATGATCTAACGGGTTGACATATCTTGGGAGATGAACACATTATAAAATTCAAAATTGTCGGTGCATTAGGAGTAGTTTCTCTCTAAAAATAGCACTTTAGGTGCTTCAACTTATATTATTCTAATATCTTATTATTTATTATTTTAATTTACTCTATTTAATTGACTGTTATTAATTACTCTATTTTTTAATTTTAAAATATTTATTGTATTGCTGACATTGGTCTTCTTGATAAATTTAATTAATTATTTACTTGTAATCGATTAATTCTTTTTCCAACAATCACCATTTTTTTCTCGAGCACAATTTTTGTCCAAGCAATAAAATGACATTTATTGTTTTCGGTACTACCTTAAACAAACTTTCTATTTAAGAACTCCAATTTAGTAGATACATCTTTTGACAACAAAACAGCCTGCATTATATAAGTCTAATTTCCCTAGATCTTTAAATTTGAAGTGACAAGAAAAGGAAAAGAAAACATCCGTATTTTTCACACTATTATCATACAACGAGAAACTAATTTCTCATTAAGATATATAAACCAACAAAAATACTAATTATATAAACCTAAGATATTATTATGAGAAAGATAATTATATTTTTTTTTACAAATAATGAGCAAAATAGGTTGACATATAGTAAGATATTTAGATTTAGAATAATATATACAAGATTTTGAGTTAATATTTTATTGCTGTCGTTCAAAAAACTTTAGATAAAAATGTTATATTTATTTGAATAAAAAAATTTAAAAATAAATCTTATCATATTTTATTAAGAAATTAATTTTTTCGTTAATTTTATTAGAAAAAAAAGTACACTCAATATTTTTAGTATAATAAACACAATCTGTAGCCAAAAGAAAAAGAAAAATGAAAAAGAAGATTGAAAAAAAAAAAAGAAGAGAGAGAGTAGATGTAGATTAGAACATTACCGTTTAATCGAATGTCAACGTCACAGTGTCCGAAGTCATTTAATTTTTTCCCGCGGAATCCGCTTCCGATCACACAATCCAACTCCAACTAACTCTCTCTCTCTCTCTCTCACAATTAAACCCTCTCCCCATTACTCCAACAACATCTTCCGTCTCTCTCATGTCCACGGCGGCGCCTCCTTCCGCCGCCGTGACCACCAGCGGCGCCGGCCTCGGGTACGGCATCGCCATCGCTGTCAGCATCCTCGTCCTCATCTCCACCATCATGCTCGCCTCCTACGCCTGCGTCCGCATCAAGGCCAACGCCACTCGCCGCAGCACCACCGCTCACTACGACCAAACGCAAAACGCAAACACCGCTGGGCCTGGGCCCGGGCCCGTGGCGGTGGTCCTGGGCCTGGAAAAGCCGGCCATCGAGGCCTACCCGAAGATCGTCCTCGGAGAGAGCAGGCGGCTGCCCAGGCCGAACGAAGGCCCGTGCGCCATCTGCCTATCCGAGTACCTTCCCGAGGAGACCCTACGCTGCGTTCCGGACTGCCACCACTGCTTCCACGCCGACTGCGTCGACGAGTGGCTACGGATGAGCGCCACGTGTCCCCTCTGCCGGAGCTCCCCCGCCCCCTCGCCGCTGCCCACGCCGCTCTCCCAACTCGTTCCGCTGGCTTTCCACGCCAGGTGATTCCTTCTCCTTTTCTAACAATTTTTTTTTATTTAATTGTTCTCACCAAATTATCGGAATATGTGTTCATTGTCGTTTCCTAATTTTATTATTTTTCTTCTTCTTTTTTTTTCGGACTCTGGTTTCCAACCATGTCATAGAATTTTCATTAGTTATTACAATCATAGTGAGTTCAAATCTAAAATCATAGGGATACTATTTTAACTCTCATTATTAAATTGACCATTTTAAATATATTAATCACAAATCTCCAAATATATATATATATGTGGTTTATCCTCTATCAGCTATAGTGCAGATTAACTCTCACGAGGATAACTTCAATTTTTTAATTTATTTTGAGTTAAGTACATGCTAATTTTTATATTATCATTTGATCAGCGGATCACAAATAATATTTTTTTAATTAAGTGCAAATTTACGCATACATTAAAATTTAAAGTCAAGCAAATTTCTGGTTACCTTCGAAGTGTGTTTGGATCTGCAAATTAGTGGTTCTGTGAAATTTGAAGTATTATGTGAGTCTGCGTGTTGTGAGATGGAAAAATTGTGATGGGAACAACTGTAATTTTCACGAAATTTCTTAGTGATGAACTGAGAAAAAAGATATAAGAATTTTAAGTCTGGTGACATACAAACTATATGATCTAGATCAATTAATTTGAGGTTATTTCAACTTAATTAAAAGTCTTGGTCATAAAATTTGAATATTTTTTTGTCATCTATAAAAATTTTATTTAATACAAATACTATTGTCTCCGATAAAAACATAAGTGGCAAGCACGAACAATAAATGGCACTATCAAAATCATATATAACTTGGGGGTTAACTTGATATATAAAATCCGTAAATTCATTTTAAGAATAGTTGTATGCACGTATATATGTTTATTGTGTTATTTTTAGGAACTAAAACTAATAAAAAAATCAAAAGTTAAAAGTAAAAATTCACAAAAATTGGAAGATTAAAAATATATTTACTTTCATTTTTGAATGTTAAGGCTCTCTCGAATTATGTTTTTAAATTTGCGGCGTTGGTAGGAAAATTAGAAAGCGAAAGTGTAGGAATTTCATGCATGGCTTCACAATCATTGAATAAAGGAACACTTGAGGTGACTGAAACTTGGTATGAATAAAAGCTCTGTGAAGTGCTAAACATTATGCGGCATTGGGAAAGAGTAGAGGAATCATGAGGAAACTGCAAATTTCTTTCTTTAGGGTGTTGGGAAAATTTCCACTTCGGAACCAGCAATTATTGTAACTGTTGTGTCATAATAAGTTGTGGTGTGAACGGTTGTTAGTTGTTACTTTGTTCGGAAAGGGAGATCTAACATATTATGGTTGGTCCATGATTGAAGATATATACTGGTATTAAAGTACTAGCACATGCAGTTGCAGCAGCTGCATCATTACCTTCATTTATGAAGAGTACTAAGCTACTTGCTCTTGTTTGTTTTATGTTAAAAATGGATTCATCAAAATACTGATCAGACTAACACTTGTATAAAATAACAAAGGAAACTATAATCTGTGTTGAAAAATTTGGGAAGGTATATTGAGTATTCATCATTTTTTTTATAAGGAGTTATAACTTATTTTGATGGGTTGGACTATTATAAATACAATTATTCTGTTACTTGGTTTTAGTAATCGTCTAGGCTTTATTAATTGATAATTTTTTATTTTGTTTTCGTTGTTATTGTTTATTATTCTTTAATATATATATATATATATATATATATATTTAATTTAATATCTCATTTTTCATGGGCATAATATTTCAAAATAATAGTCTTTAACTTCATGGTAAAAGACACTAGGTTTAAAAAAAAAATACTGTTTCAAGAGTGGGAGATTTTCTCTGAAGTTTTAGAAAATTCTTCTAATGAAGATATAATCTTCTAGTAGTCAGCTTTATATTTTCATCTGTTTACCAAATAAACTAAATAGCAACACACAAAAAATTGACAAACGGGTCTTACCTTATAATTAAAATAGGGGTAACTTCGGTTCTCACTCACTGCAATTTATGGTAAAGACAAATTATGTGCTTTTTAAAGATGTTTTTTTAAAGATGTTTTTGGTGAGAACGGGGATTGAGCTTTATAAGGTTGAATTTTTCGTTACTTTGCAATTTTATTTGGATAATTTACGTAATAAATATTTGTAGTAAAAGTTAGCTAGTATAGACTAGACTACCAAAGTAAATTAGTGGTAGAATCGTAGAAATCGAAGTTGATGCATGAGGATTTAAAAATCCTTATTATTTTTATAGTAATTTTCTTTTTTACCGGTAAAAGAAAGATTATCAAAGTATTAGTAAATCTAAATTAAAAATATTTTAAAATGAATGTTTTGTAATTCAATATTATATATTATATATAAATAATTTTTTAAAACATTTTCTCTAATGAAAACATTTTTAGGCTTTTTTTTATACCTTTCTACTCCGAATAATTACGTAAAGAATTAAATATTTGATATAAAAAATTTAGAGAAAAATAATAATTCTCTTGCCTCAATACTTTGTAAAAGGATTTGCAATATTTTTCCATAACTTTAATAAATAAAGAGAATAAAAAGAAAATAATGTATGAATTGAAATAAGACACAAATTCCTAATAGAATAAACTTCAAGAGTAAAATATAAGAAAATAAAATTTTAAACAACTTCAGAACAAAATTTTTAGACAAGTAAAGTTTTAAGTTTCTCCTCAAATACATCTTCATGTACTTGATCTATTCCTATAAATGGTAATCAACCCAAAATACAAACAACACAAATATAGAGAGTGAGAATACATCTCATTCATATATAACATAAATAAAGCATAAGAATAGACACACAAATCTACAACATCAACAACATCTCACATACATATAAGAATCTTTCCATATATTCAAAATAACCATTTTCATACATTCATTCATCATCCACAACTAGCAAGTCATAAAATTTAACTTAATCATAAATTAAGACTCATGCAATGAATGCTCCTAACTTTGTATGTATGTAGTACCAATCTTTTCATTATCATTGAGAATACAAAATAGTGTAGGAGTCATGGAACGAGATCACCTCATCGAATAGTGTAGGGACCACCATCAATAGTGATCTCTAAACCACCTCAACCAGGCGATGTCTATCAGGGTCTTGTCGAAATGTTACAATTGACCATGGTAGCCTCCCATTTTCGTTAGAAATTTCCCTACCATAACACCCCTAGGGCATAAGTAGATGAGTTGTGATATCCCACCTTCATAAACTCACACTATCCCGCAAATAAAACATATATGAATAGACTCAATATGCACATCACAACAACAAAATATGCATAATTCATCTCCTTGAGTGGCAACTCATAGCATTGGACTTATGCATTTCATCTCATCATAGCATTCATCATAGTATACATCATCACTTCCCAATAATTCATCCTCATCACATTCATCATAACATACATCACATCTTAATAACTTCACCACATCAATTCAATAATATCCCAATGTGCAATCAATCCTATATACAACTCACTCATAACATCTCATGTTCATAAGAAACACACATAATTCATATTGCTCTATAAATAAGGATTTTCGCATGATTCACAATAACTTAAATTTATAATCACAACGCTCAATACACAATCAATGATACATATGACTCACTCATAGCATCTTATGCTATAGACAAGGGTTTTCATAGAATTCATTGACACTTAAAGAATAACACAACTTACAAATTATCTCTTCTTATCTTGAGTTTTTATAACATTGTGTGATCTAAATGTGATATTTAGAGTTATGTCTATGATATCAACTTGATATTAATTTTATTATAAAGATAAGGTAATTATCTACAACTTCTATGTTGACTTAAAGAGTTGATTTTACCATCTACTATTTTTAAAAATTGCAAAACTATTGTATTATAGTCTAATTCTGACATTTGACCTTTGTTCACTAATTTAATCATAACTTAATTTTTAGACCTTTTTTTAAGGTGATTCTAGTGCCATTGGAAATCTATTATCCAAAGCTACAACTCTTATAAATAACACAAAACTTAATTAGGTCACCTAAGGGTCCTCGCAAAGCTTATAGGTTTCAAACGTAACTTTTCACACCTAGAACATGAGACTCATCATGCAACTCACATAACTCATTGAGTTTTTAACATTTTTTATGTGATTCTTGAGTATAAATTATAGTCCCAAATGTTTAGTTTCTAACTCAACAAATGGAATTCTATTTAATAAATCACATAGAGAGAAATCACCTAAATACCAAGATAAGTTCATACCAAAATTTTCATAATTAAACAAACTACATTAAAACTCTTAAATCATACATACAACTCTAACATCCAATAAAACCTATACACATTCTTTTACCTTAATTCACAATTCAATCAATTAAAAACTTCTATTTATTATTCTTATAGTCACTTATCATCATCAACTCATACAAAACATTAAACCATATTAAAACCCTATTCTACGCATATGACCCTAATTCATCATAACTTCAATCTACCATCAATATACTAATCAAACACAATTCAGTACAAGAATTTAGATAATACACAATGGATCAATAACTAATTCATTTATAAGCAGTCACATAGATTAATTAAATCCATCAACTTACGAGACTTAGGGGTCGTCTCTCTACCTTTATCCATCATATATGTCCAAAGATTTGACAATCTCATTCCCCATTACCTAGAGTGATGATATAACAAAACAACACGCTACCTATAGCTTTGACCGCTAATATGTGCTTCCTTCGATGATCTCCTCTAGGTTCCTTCCTTTGAGTACTCTAGGTTTTTCAGAATACGCGTAATAACTTAATCTCCTCTATTTTATTTCATTTTAATAAGCCTTTGGGTTAGATCCAAAGTCCAACCCACTAAGTCAAGTAGCTCTCACATTCACGAAATAGTAGTGCACAAATACTACATAATTTCAAGAAACTTGACAGACAAATACCATGGGGGTTGTTGTTTCAAATTACAGCTAGGTAAGTGTCAAAATAGTCATAATTTCTCAGTAAAATAGAAACTTATCATTATGCTTCATTAATATTCCATAAGAGTTCTTTACAATGCTTTTGATGATTTCACAACTACAATGGTTCAAAGCATGTAACCTAACTTAATTCAACAATACAAAAATAAGTTTGTTTTTGCGATCTAAAGCTATTTTGGCATCCACAATTGAGACCATCGATCAAATTAGTCATTATGTTCTATCTTTGATTTCAGGTAATTCATTAAATATATTAATTGAATGCAAACTTGATAGTAACATTATATTTTTTTTTACATTTTATCAATTATATTGATTTAGATTATTTCAA